CCCTAATAACAACATATTTACAACGGGCAATGCAGTCCTATCTTTCAATTCAATATGCTGTAATCAAAGTAACATAATGGCAGCTTCAGCTTGAATAATCTTATATGGTATGAATACTACAAGACATTACATAAAGATGTGGAGGGTAAAAGAAATGCCCGCACAGGGACAGTGATACACTGATCTGTATAATGCATGATTCATAATATATGATGAGAATATAGTAACCCGTTACATAAAGCACTGATGATGGCTTATGCACTGATGTGATGTGGCATGGCTATCTTTTACTGAAGGTCAGTCTCTTATTTTGTAGGTCTTAGTTATTTCTTATCCTCTCTCTGACTCATTCACCGAATGATCTCACACTTATAATGGAGTACTGCTTCCTAAAAAGTGGAAGGAGTGTTCAAGAGCGGTGACACAGCCAGTGTGTGTGTGGGAGTTAAACAGCAGTGGGTGTTTAGTGGATGCTCAGACCATTTCCCATTGTAAAGCTTACAGTGTCAGAGTGGCTGCAGTGTCATGTTTCCTGAAGCATCATGCTTGGACACACACAAACATCACTCACATCTATATATTCAAAACACACACACACACAGTACATGGACACAGACTCAGTGGTTTTTATATCATTAAAAGAAAGCCCTTACGTTCAACAACAATCCATTACCATCACTTTCAAGCTGAATGTCAGTCAGTCATGTGAAGCTTACAGATTAGCTTCATCCAAGCCTGGCTGCACTTAAAGGTTCTTCCATACATATGACTCTGTGTTCTTGTTGCTACATGGAAAAATATTTCATTGGGAATGAGCTCTTATTTCACTGACCACAACAGTGCTAAAATGAAACTGATAAATCTTTTTTGTTGAGGAATTTTTGGTTCTTACTGTCTATATAATAAATTAGGAAAAGTACAATTCCGGACTGAAGAACGTTATTTGTAAATTGTCTCTGAGGCAGCCTCAAGAAGTGGGAGGTACAGATGCACAAAATGTTATATTTTGATTATAGCGAAGATTTAAAATCAACATTACACCTTCAAGAAAGTGTCATATATTACAGATATATACACAAATACAAAGACAAGTACACAGACAGAAACACATCCACAGCTTGCTGATCAAATTCAGTGTTTCCCCATATTATCAAAACACGTCTCCTGGTCTTACGTATTGAACTGAAGGACACTCAGAGCAAAAGGCAAATCTGTTTTCTTTCTGTTCCTTGCTCTTTAGATGGTGTACTGTGAACGATAAATCTTTTGGGTTGTGAATCTAAACTGCCCTCTAACTGAACTATATGAAAACTAAAATTAACATTTTGTCTAAAAACATGTGACTTTATTTAACAGCTGTTTTGTAAATTATGTTCTTCAAGAAGAAACCGCTCTGTAATTAGAAAAAAACGAAACAAAAATGGAAACACTGAAGTTGTACTGAGATGAAATGAAAATGTGATTTTGCTTTTGACAGCATGCTCTGTCTTCGGTCAAGGAAGACAAATAGGTCTGTTACTGAATCTTTACTGTTACTTGTGTTTACATGGCACATGTCACCATTTTGGCAGAATAGAACATCTTGGGCTGTCCAAAATACAATTTTCTGGGCTTCAAAGCTTCACTGAGAATGACTCAAGAACATTATAAGAGATAATATAAGATTGGCTTAGTATTTTTCAAAATGTCTATCACTGTGCAGTGTTGTGGGCAGGAAAGGGGGAGAAAGAGAAAGGGGATGACACGCAGCAAAGGGACACAAGTCGGATTTGAACCCTGTGCTGCTGCAGCAGGGGCTCAGCCTTTGTACATGGGATGCCAGCTCTACCAGGTAAGGGAATCCGGGCACCCTGCGATTCCGTTTTCCAGCAGGTGAGTTGTGTGTTGAGGAGGCTTGTTAATAATGTGGTCCATTGTACATAATTAAAATAAACAATATTGTCAATGTCGATTACCATGGCAATGGTCGACGCTTCGAAGCATTGGGTCAGCCCAAAGAACATGAAAAGGAAAAGTTTGAGGTTCTAATTTCTTTTTCTGCTTTTGATCCTCCTCAGAAAATTGAACTTCTGAGTGTCCAATAATGAAGTCCTGCAAAAGGTTTGTAGTTTATTTCTTCACAAAGAAAAAAGGCAGTAATCAGCCAGTTACACTGGATAAGTCAGGTTTTGGGTGAAGTTACTTTTAAGAACCACAAAGTCCTCCAAAATGGTGCCATGTTTCTCAAAACCAAACTCACTGTTACAGACCTGCTTATATAAACACATATTTTGGTCTCCCTTAGTATAGCATATAGCAACACAAGTGTCATGCAGACAAGAAAATTCCTACATTTAGTGAGTTCCAAAGCTGCATATCAACTAATGTTGGTTCACTGATATGAATGGTAGATTTAGAGCAATGGGGGATACAAGAATTATGTCCAGGAGACACTTACCAGAGAAATTTCGAGAAACCAGCATGGTAGTAAGAATGGCCCCCTTCAAGGAAAACAAAGAAGATGCTTTTACAGTAACATTACAGTAACATAATAATTTAGACATTTCTATACAAATGAACACTCACTGTGCCACTGCCTGGTGCACATTATGTACCACAGGAGTGATTCAACCAATATCCAGGTGACTGAAGCTTTTAAATTTGCTCTTCTAACAAAACAAGACAGGGCTTTCCTGGGAAAGATCCTGACACACAGTCACAGCAGGTGAAACAATTAAATTTGCATTTAAATAGCACATAAACAACATCTGATTGGCAGATACACTCTGAAATGTGGATTGTGGACTACATGGTAACAAAGACCCTTTATGAGCCATCACTGCTTCCCATAAAAGATGTAACCACAAATAAAACGAAGCAAGAAATTACACAGAAAAATTGAGACAGAGAGAGAGAGACAGAGAGAGAGAGAGAGAGAGAGAGAGAGATAGCGAGCGAGCGAGAGAGAGAGAGAGGAGTAAAGCAGCTAATCTTGACACTGTTTTCTCTGGAGACATCATTTACAACTGGAGCTGATAACTTTTTATAGGGCTATAAAAATACTACTGAATTGCAAATAGACCACAGTATTTAAGAGCTGCGGAGGTTGATATATATAATATATTTCATATCTGAATAGCTAAACCAAGATGCTTCTGTCTTAACCATAGCAAAGGCGGCACCTTTATCGAGCTGTAATGCTGCACGAAAAAAACTAATACATAGTATGTGGGAGCCTTTTTTTCGCAATAGTAGATACTTCCTTGTATTTGTTTGTGCTAGAGATGATGCCCCACAGTCTGACTAAACTGTTAAAGCAGCTCTAGTAAAAACCTTTACATTGTTTTATGTCAATCTGCAAAATTCAAAATCTGCAAATGTAATGGAGCGAAGCCTGCGAGCTAGTTCAGGCAGTCAACTCTCTCTGTGTAGATATACACACATGACATGCCTCAATCAATAATCACTAACCAAGCGCTCCTTTAATCTGGCGTCTATTTAAACTGGTACGAATTTACTACTCTCCCTCTGCTCTGTCATGTCTGCTGTTGCCCTGCATCCGTATTGCTGCTGTGCTCTGTAGTATTTGCTGCCTGCTGCGCTGTAAGCCCCACCACCACCCAGATCCACCTGTAGGCTCAGACTGGGGGTTAAGTATTTGCGCATTTCCCCGCAGATATGTTTATCATTAGAGATAGTGGGGAGTATGCGATTTTGGCGTCTGGGTCTCGGAGCCTAGACGCCAAAATCTAAATATGCTATACTGCTGTAATAAACATTTCAAACGTGAGTTGGCTGACTGAACTACTTTTGTCACACTCACTTTTGTGAGTCCAAATAAGTTTGGGAATACATATAATGAACGTACAAATATTCTAGATGATTTTTTTTTATAATGTTTAGCACATATAACAATACCGAATTAACTGATTCACTGTCTGTGAATTTTAAGTGTTGTTGTGACCTTTTTTTTTGTTTCTGTTTATGTAGCTGAATGTCTAACCTTGCCAGTGTCCATTTCTTTCTAAATGTGAAAAGAGACAATTGGTTCACACTGATGGCATTCTGGTTGAATGGTCTAACATTTTCCTGCAGCCACCTGTATTTCTGCTTCCAGTTCCCCATGTGCCGGTATTTCAGCCATGCCAAGACTAACCAAAAGCAGCAGGGTAACAGTGAGATGCTCCAGTGGCTAAGCTGTTGTATTCGCACAAAATGTCAGCAATAAATCAGAGTAGAAGGGAAAACTATGCATGTAGGATAAGTCCGGATCTAAACTGCCTTTTCATATAACCCTAGTGCCAGAGTCAGGAGAAAAAGCAATAATATTACATGAGCTCCATTAAACACATTTAAAACTTTACACCATCTTAAATTTATAGCTCACAAACATTACAGGAAAAGTGCAAATACCACTTGGTAATACTATGGTATCCCTGAAATGTACAAGGGCTCATTAGAGCAGAAGATGATGATGTGGGAGAGAGTGAGCATGCAAACAAACCTTGAGTTTCCTTCTGGCATTGAATTTCTTCAGGCACTCCACGGTCTCCTGTCTGTGCATCATAGACGCCACTGTGGACCGTTGCTGGGTGAAAGAAGAAGACAAGGAAGAGCAGGAGGAAGAGGAGAATGAACAGGATTATTCAATGTGTTTGTGTTTGCTGTGATCTAATCACTTGTTTGTCTTTCTAGGCGTGCAGTAAGTGTAAAGATTGTGTGGAAAATATGTTGTCTGTTTCATGTAGGGGACACTTACGCAGACCCATGGGTGCTTGAGGGCCTCCTGAGCAGTGATCCTTTTGGCTGGGTTGATAGTCAGCATCTGGTTGATCAGGTTTTTGGCCTCTGGGGTGACTGTGTCCCACTCTGGGGAAGGGAACTAAAGGCACAAACAGAACAGTTGATAGACAGAGAATTAAGCAGCAATTATTTTGATAATCAATTAATCATTTTTCAAGGAAACATACCAAACATTCACTGGTTTCAGCTCCATGTATGTACGAATTTTGTGCTTTTTTTCTGTATTATATCATTGTAAATTGAATACCTTTTAGCCTTGGACAAACACTTATTTGAAGGCGAACGCTTGGGCGAACGCTTGAGCATTTTTCACATTTTTCTTTTACTTTTCACAGACATAAGATTAATTGTAAAAATAATAAGCAGATTAATTAATAATGAAAGTGGTTGTTAGTACCAGCCCTTATTCAGTGAAATTGTGTCCAAACCACTTCAGAAAACAACATTTTCAAATACCACTACAAGTCTACAAATCTGAAGAATATTTATCTACATATAAAAATGCAATATGTCATTAGGAGATATGGTACATTGTTTGTGTGACATTTTTCACCACATAAACAGATATTGCATATTATAGCTTGAAAAAAAGATTTTTTTAACCCAATTACATGTACCTTCAGCCACTGTGGCCCCATGTAGGTGTTTTTTGGCAGGAGGCCAGTCCAAGCACAACAAACTTTTCTAAAATTCTAAATCCATCAGGTCCTGTTGTGTTTAGGCATAAATATGGATGTCTGAGTCCTCTGAGCCCAGAATCCCTGCCAGAGACTCAGACAGGCTCTCTCTCTCAATTTGGCATGGACTTAAATGTGATCTAAGGTGAGGCTCCCTCTCTTGCACCCCCTGAAATATGAATGAGGTGACTGAATTACGTAACCGCTGCCAAATAGAAACGAGGGCAGTGGGAGGAGAGGAGAGGAGGGGAGAAATAAGAGAGCAGGAGAGGAGAGGAGACTCACATCGTAAGCCCCAGCCTTGATCTGCTGGTACAGCTTGTGCTGGTCCTCATCCCAGAAAGGAGGGTAGCCCACCAGCAGGATGTAGAGGATCACCCCTGAGACACACACAGAAACACATATGGACAAACACATATACATACACAGAGAAAATGCCTAATTAGTCAGTGTGTTTCTGTTTTTTGTGTATAATCATCTAGGAAATGCCATATGTGTGTAAAGTGTGTGAATGAGTGTGTGTGTCTCTCTGTACAACTCACCGCAGGCCCAGATGTCCACAGGTTTGCCATAGGCCTCCTTCCTCAAAACCTCAGGGGACAGGTACCCCGGTGTGCCAGCAAATCCTGCAGTAAAAACACACACATAAACCATTGATTAACATGCTCAAGGCAACAGATTGTGTATCTGCTATCCTTGGATTGGCTTGTATAGAAAGCAAGATAATCTTTGATAAACTAAAACGGATTCATCCACACAGTAGACTGAGATCTTAAAGACAGATTTTAGGCTTTAAGATCAGTTGACTGTGAACGACTGGCAAATCTCTCATTGAGGAGAGCCATAGACACCACTGCTGAAGGGTACAGAAGTTTGTAGTAGAGAGCCAGGTGAGATGTGGAAGTGTAGCTGAACAGTGCTAATCTGTGACAGGTTCACCCCACTCACTCTTTGCTAAGTAATCTCCATTTCTGAACAGAAACTTGTAGTACTGTGCACCATTATAATCATGAGTTTGACATCCCTAATAAAAAAAATAACATTAGCAATAATGATGGGGATAGTAATAAATGCAGGTTAATTTATGGTACCAGACCATTCACCATTTATCAAACAACTCTAGTGTCAGCACAATATAATCTTGGTAGTACCATCTATGTTAGTTAACATATGAACTAAGTGTTGATAATCTGGCATGTACATCTTTACAATTAATCTTGCATGACCACAAGAATAAATTTTAGGGAGAGGTATTGTCTAATAGCTTAAGTCTCTCTCTCTGTCAGCTGAACCTTCTTATATCACTGTTTTTTATCCTTAGATCTATATTCCTTTACCAAGCATTTTTCATAAAAAATCATTCTTAGGCAACCACAAAGCTGTTCACCATTGCAGTCCTTACCACTGACAGTAACTGTGAAGCAATTCAGTTTTTTAAATTAGACTGAAATGGTATAGTGCTCCCACTGTGAAGTTGTCTACAAACTTAAAGGTCACAGCTAGTTTGTCTGACTAGACTATGCAGAGCAGCTGATAAGATTGAAAACTGAGCACCCAACATATTGTAACTTCTACTTTGTTACAGAAGACCACGGTTGAGAGATAAATCTAAAAGACAACTGGTCATTCAGCGTGACTTAGGATAGCGTAGGTAGGATTAAAGCTTGTTCTGAACCACTATCCAAGTCGATCTTCGCATATATTTAGCTATGCAAATTATGACCATATTTGGGACACTAGCAGATCCTGTGGGTCTAGGTTTATGTTAAATATCCCTCGACAGGAGGTTACCTTCAGAGTTGGGTTGGCATTGCACTGCGCTTCACATGTATTGCTGATCTTATTCTCGTTGGCCGAGCCTCAATAAATTCTGCTGTTCAAGTCAAATCTTGTTCTTAAATTTTGTTTGAGTACGACTGTTTCATCTTTTTCAAAGTTTTCCATCACAGTAACTAAACCTTGTTCTATTGCTGTAGTCATAACGAGCTCTTTTATAACTTTAGATAGATACATATAAAATAGAGATATGATTAACTCCTATAGCCGTAGTACGTACCAAACCAGGCCTGCTGATCCCCCTGCACCTCAATGGCTAGGCCAAAGTCAGCCAGCTTCACTGCGGCATTCTTACATTTGCTTGCTAGGAGAAGGTTCTCTGGCTAAAGTGGGAAAGAGGAGATAAATAAGGTTACCAAACATTTTGAAATGAAGGACGGGGGTACAAAACATACACTGCTTTAGTGGGGGAAGAGCTGCAGGTAGATAGCTATGCATGCACAAAATAGGGTTCAAACAGTACATTCTTATCAACACTGTATGTAGCACACACAGAACACAGAAACACACAGATATAAATGTCATTTGAATAACTTGCGTGGACATATAAAGACTATACAATAAAAGTCAGTCCACATTTCAGCAGAGGAAAGGTGAATAACCTTTATTGCATAGCCTTACGTGTACACACAACCCAATCGGTCTGCAGTGCTTTTTTGTCATAGCCTCATGTGGTGTGCTGTGGTCTATGGGCTCCATCTCTGTGGCCCAGATAATGCAGTCAGCCTCATTATTCTCTGTCAGAAGAGGGTTCTAATAATGGGATGCTATCCCCACTGGCCCCTGCTCCTTCTCACTTTGTCTCTCTATATCTCTCTCAATCTCACTTAATCATTGCCACTCTAAGAGAAACTGGCAATCTTGAATGATAAATAAAGCACTGAGATGGGAAAAATCAATACAAAATATAAAACACTCATTTCATTCATTGTATTCACGACGCTGGAAAATCATCAACTATGAGTTAGTATGACTACTTAGAGTTTGAGAGGTCAGCTAGGCTAACAAGGTAACCTGTATATCTTAGCATGTCAAGTCTGTTAGTTAACTGAGTGTTAGACTAAGCTTGACAAAACTAGTTTTTCCACTATAAGCCTGATACTACAGTACCAGTTAATTGATTTCTGCCTTTAGAGGAGCTTTACCTCCAAGAAATTGTTATATAACTGAAACTCCCAACCCGGGTTATCATCTGCCATCCTGGTTTGTGTTTGGTGATCACGAAGTGCAGTTTTAATGTACTACAACCTTGTTTTGGCTAAACTCAATGTCAACAGTAACACCTGCTTACCAAATGTCTGACAGATGTGGTTCTTTAATAGCCATGCAGTTACACTAATGTGCATATTACTGAGGGCTTCTATTCACGGAACAGAAGCCTGCTGTGTAAAATTACTCATACGACGGTTTCTCTTGTCATTTAGGGACTAAATTTAGTCTCTTTAATGTCACTTATAGAAGTCTTTCTTCTCTTCCAATTAGCTTGTGTCGTTGTTTCCTGATATGCGCTACTGTAAACAACGAAAGCGCAAACTTACAACACGGGGAGAATGGGGACATTATATTTAGGCTGCATTTCTGTCACTGCCTCCCCTGCATTGCAGAAGTGTGAGTCTTTGCACCCTCTGCCCGCTGCACTCAGCTAATTTGTTTAGAGGCATACTGTGTATTTAAAGTGCAGATACTTAAGAGTGTGCTTTTACAGTCTTTGAGCCCTTAAGTAAAAGAGAAGGAAATAAGCAAGAGAGAGAGACTGTGAGAGAGCGAACCAGTAATCCTAAGGAGCTGTGCCTACCTCGTGTCATCATATTCTCTCAGCTCTACCACTTGGTTAGGCTTCACTCTTTTGTGAACGAGGGAGTTAAAACTTGCCAACACTGCAGCAGTAAGCTAATCCGTGAAAACGGATGTGGGTGGAAATTCTGATGAAGCATGTGCTTCCATCAAAAGGTGCATAAATGCATTGCAAAACATCCAGGCCACATTACAGGCATAACAGCAGCAATCGCCATCACTTTTTGACATAAGCTCTCCTTCCCTCTCTATCTCTTTAGCACACACATACACATATACACACAGCTGAGCACATTGGTGGCTAGCAACTAGTTTGGTTGAAAGGGAGAGGGAGGGTATACAGAAGATCGAAAAGGCTGTATTTGAGAGCAGTTCATGAGTGGGTGTTTCAAATGGAATGATTCCCATCTTTCTCTCTTCCATTTTATATATCTGTCAGCAGAGGATCTGGAGCTGCTGTGACATTCCTGACTAATTCCCCTTGAGAATGTAGCTGAGATGTAGTCGTCCATTAAAAAGGCACTTTTCCTATATGACATATATAATATGATCTATTAACGGAATTTCATTTGATCCATTACTTATGTCAAACTAAAAATGCTGCCTTTGAAAAAAAAACAGTGACCAATAGACTGAAAGACAGTATACTTTTAACTTCACAACAGTGTGAACAATATAGCACAATTTGGTGGTGGGGGATTGGCACACAAACAAATCTGCTTACTGTGTTGTCATCTCATATACCATAACCCAATTCCTAATTTGAGGGATCTTGTCACCCAGGCTGTCCTCAGTCATCACACTATGACCTATTGCATGAAATGCTCTCCGATGCTTGGGTGTGAAACCAGATAGGTGTGTCGGCTAAATAAAGAAATAGCCACAACAGTTCTGATGAACACAACACGCCTTTGCTGGAATGCTGGGACTGACATTTGCATAGAAGAGGTCTGCCTGACAAAGCGCACCATGCACAGCAAGATGCGACATACAAGCATGCACATACAAATACACGACTAGGTTCATAACATGACAGCAAGAGGACTGGAAACATCTATCTGTTTAGACACTGACTGATTCACACAAAGCTCATATTTGAGGTGCTGCTTTGTTTGAAGTAATGTTTCCATGAGCACAGTATTAAGCCAAATTTAAACACTTACAAACCGAAGCAAAACTTCAGCTTAGTTCCTTCACAGTTAGCAATCACATTAAACAACTGCTTTGTGTACAATATTACTGAAAATGCATTTCAAGCTCAGAAAAAATCCTTGAGCAAAACTTAATATGAATCAAGTTTACAAAATACATCTATTAAGCAATCCCACAGTTCTAAGAAACTTGGAACAGGTTCAAAATTAGCACCTGCTCTACCAGTCAGTCATCAGATATAAACAAATGTCACAACATTACAAGTCAGTTGATGGCAGTATACAGAAAATGAGCTGTCACATTTGAAGCACTGCGGGTCATTAAGTGATCTATAAAGGCAATTGAAAAAGTGTCTCATAATCAATAGTTAACATTTTTCTCTGACCAGAGGTCAGATTAAGTATTCTCCAGGGCCATCTTGGATGGTCAGCTGTGCAATGATAAGATCCTGTTCCGAAAAGGTTACAGAGCGGCGGCACTGGTCTTGTGCGCGCTTGACCAGTGTCAATGTCATGCTTGAAATCTCAACAGACAGGGGGAAGTGGTGTTTAAATAACAGGAAAAGAAGTTGACTGCATTGAGCTGGAGGTATGAGCTGTGTATGGCAAGCCAGAGCCAGAGAAAGGTCGGGGGGGGGGGGGGTATTTGACAAAGTTGTTGGGACTGGTCTAGCTCTGAGTGGGTCTGGTCTAGCTCTGAGTGGGGAAACGCACTTTGGCCTGACTCTAAATGGCTTTCTAACTGTACAACCAACCATTGTATAGGCCTAAACTGTAAGGTTACAAAGAGTGCAATTGTATTTATCAGAATTCAGGGGTAATGACATGACTCAAAACCCTCTCTAAGTCCTGAGGTTTTGCAAGTGACATTATGTCCACAAACATTACAGACAGTTTCTCATTTACTTATCAGACTTAAACAGATTACACAAATAACACACCCACACAAATATATAAGCACACTCTCAAGGACAGCAAGGTAATCCCCATCACTCACCTTCAGGTCCCGGTGCACCACACCCATTTGATGGCAGTGAAGCACCGCTTCCAGGATCTGCTGGATGCAATGACTGCACGCAAACAGCAGGGGGAGCAGGTTAGTCTGAGCACA